AAAACCGTATTTATATAGCGTGCCTTATAAACTTCAAATAACAAGGCACCTTACATAACCTATGGTCGAAAAATAGGACCCGCCGGACACTATCCCGGTATGTCTGTTTTATTATATGAACTACAACATGTACTATAAAATAAACAAGACACACACACACACACACACACACCCACCCAAACATACACACACACATACACACACACACAATAATACAAATAACCGTAAACAAAATATACCTTTCTTTTAATTAATTAGGGCAATTGGAAACTGCGAACGGAATACTGCAATTTAAACGTACAGAAAAGGAGTCTGAAAAAATATGAAAACAAAAACCTCTCGCTTCCCAAGGATAACCAAGGACCGTTCGAAGACTTTTCCAATAGGTAGGTGGTGTACCAAAAAACAAACCACTATTCTGTTGAAACAGTGTACCGTACTAGCTAAAGTATGCATGGCCCATGTTGCACACTAAAGACGGTACGGCAATTTAAGTCCTCCTACCGAAACATAAGGGGAAGCAGCGACATACAGTAATTGCTCTAAAAATCTTCATGGTTCAGGGCACACAAATTGGCTTCCACAGGTTTATCCCCTATTCATTTTGTTCTCTGTAGTTTTTATAGCTATATTAAAATCCAATATGTTACGATTATAGTACTTACTCTGCAAATTGAAGTAGCCGTTAAAAAATCGACTGAAGCTGGTTTGTAGCTGTAACATTTGGATCCTTCTAAGCTGTATGCCGGTGGACATGATGCTGTAAATTGGAGTAAAATCCATATTGATGTTTCTTTCTTTTTGTCTTATTTTTATCATCGCTGTAGTTGATGGATTGATTATCTAACACTGGTGCATGATTAAGCACAATTCAACGTATCATACGACTAAACATTAATAAAATGTTAAACAGACAATAGGACAGATTTAATAAAAAATCAAATTTTGAACTTACAGCTATAAAATGGTACCTCAGATGGTAAAGTTAAGAACGGTTCTTGTTGTATGAACGCATGATCAATTATGTTCTTTGAATCCCGAACCCTGCTTTGAACATAAAAAATGCCATCTGCACCCCACCAGTTGTACGTAGCGTGTACTGTTGATGTCACGCGTGATGTAAGTGCCACTTCATATTCGTTACCAGCGTTTACTATGTAATTTCTAGAAATATTAGTGTTAATATTATCTAATAACATGGTGAACCTTTCGTCTGAACGTTGTCCTGTGTTGAAGATCATGATGTTGCGTTCAATAAGTCCGTTACCATAGGTAATATCTCCTAAAACAAAAATTAGATGCCGTCCGTGGTTGTAAAAAAACACATTGTTAGTGACACATGTGTTTCTTCCCATTATGGTTACTACATCATTGGTAGCAGATGGTTTATTGTAGTAAAATTGGTTGCCAGTTATCCAAATTGATGAGGAGTCACTAGTCGTTTTTACGGACAGCACACCACTTTCCGTATTAGAACGGAAATAATTATGTGCAACCATCACTATGGAATCAGTCGATACTTCGTGAATGGCCAAATCTCCATAATTTTCCACGAAGAGGTTTCCTGTGATAGAACAGTTTCCATTCGTGTGGTTCATAATGTTATGGCTGGTTTGGGAACAGCTTTGAAAAGTAGATTTTGATATGCTCACTTCAACTGGAATTCTCTCATCGATGTAATTATCCACAATATATACAACTGAACCCATAACGTTTAAGAAATACGAATTTTCTATGGTAATTGATGATTTCAGAAGGTATTCTATAATGTTGAAAAAAAAACAACCTTTTATAATGAAAGTAGTATATAAAAGATTATAAATTATTTATGTTATAAACTCCATTTGTGTCTTGTCACTAATGTGGTTTATGAGAAAAAGTTTATGAATCTTCGGCCACATAGGGCCCGGAATGCATAAATTATTGCTTACACATTGTACAATTAATATAGCAAATGGTTACGTTTATCATAATTATCATGCAGCGGTTTAATTTCTAAAACGAGAGCATATTCCAGTACCCCACTCTGCTTATTGGTTTGTATTGACCGATGTGATGCACCAAAAAAAAAAAAGTAATATGTCCTTGGAACATGGTTCAGTCATTGCTTGTCTTGTTAACATTATACCTCAGGTCATAAGAAATGCTAAACTCATAAGACAGATTCACTTCAACGTTACTCACGATATTAATTTAGTCGTAATGTTTAAACTTCATAACAATTTGTACCAGAAGGTTGAACAATCTATGGTCAAGGAAACTAAATCGTACAGGTAATAGCCGTACCTAGTCGCACGTATGTATAAGCCTTGTCTATATGAAGGCGTCAATTCCTATCCCTGAGAAAACATCCAGTTATAACACAACCATCAAATTTAAATTTAAAGAATAATCTAAATTAAACAAGCATCGTGTTTAATTTGAAAGGAAAAATAAACTATCATCAATGATTTACTTCTCTTCTTAGCGATCTTGTACGATCGCTAATTCTCACACCATAGTATTTGTTTACAACATAACATTATGGCTTCCGCAGAGTAAAATCGCGTAGTATCACGTGAGACACATCACTGATCTGCCATGTGCTCCGCCTTTCGCTCGCCTTTCCTTCTCGGTGCCAAGCCTTCTTTCATTGCATGTTTTCATTACTTATTCTTCTTTTTGCATTTTGTATATATTGTAACACATGTCATTGAAGAAAATTAAACGTTAGTTTGAATTGAATTGAACAGCTTGTCTGCCCAATTCGAACTAATATAGAAAGGTAGACTTTAGCCTGGATTTTGGAAATTACAACAGAAAGGGGTTCTGGCGCTCCAACGATCTGAGCATTTTTAATCTGTTTTAAAAAGATTTCAGGGAGTGTTTGTTGACAATGACGGTGATGGTACATAAACAAACAAAATTTGAATAAAGCCACGTACGATTTGAGTTGCAATGTACATTATGTACGGTTTGAGCACCCGAACTATGTATACAAACATATCATTACTTAGCATACTGATGATTTGTTTTATTTATTTATTTTTTTATATAATGCTTCGGTGAAATAAGTATTCACGTAAATATTATCTAATGACTAAAGTTACTGCATGACCATTTTTTCTATTTGTAATAAAACCAATTTCTTCTAATTTTAAATACATTTTCCACTGAGTTTGTGATAATTCGTTGTCACGCATAGACATGTGCTAAATGCGTGGCAAATTTATGATCAAGCATGTATTTCTGCAAAATGCATGTTTCAACCAAAACTACTTTGAAATGCGGGACTATCCCGCATGATGCGAAACGATTGGTAACTATGTCTATTAGGTCCTTCTTACAAAGATACGTCGCAATCGAGAGCGATGCCGAAGTGTATGGTGGAGCGCATTATTTTTTCCCCATACACTTAAAGCAGAAAAGATAGAGGGCCCTATTTTGGGCCAGTTAGGTGTAACTGATAAACATGAATACGCATGCCTGACTTCCCTCTCGTGAAAGAGGTGTTTTGTGGTGTATCTAGTAAGCTGCAGTGCTTAAGTGCGATGAAAGAACAAAATAAGAACAAATTGAGGCTGAGGTAAAATGTTAAATGAGGTTTTCATTTTTTTTATATTTTTTTCTTAAATGGAAAACCAATAAATCTAATTTTCTATGTTTAAAAAGTATATAAAAATATGGACAAACTAAGAACAATTTGAGCCTGAAATCGGCCAAAAAATAAGATTAGTTTTGTAAAAAAAAAGTTTATGCCTAGATAATGTGACATGATGTGACATGCATTGTTGCAATTGTAATAGTAGTGATACAAACTTTTTATTGTCGCGTAAAATACGTAAAATTCTTTTTTCAAGGTTTTACTTACATGTAGATATGAATATCCGAATGACATAAACGCCTAGAAATGCTTGGAGTGAATAACTATGAGTACTTTTGACAGAGTTATCAATTACAATTTTTACAATTAATCATTGTGATTTTTTTTTCGTTTTAAATGAGCTATAATTTTTTTAAATTTAGTATTTAAGATTTTCTTGATGATGTTGACAGACAGTCTTTAATAAACACTACCGGTACGTCATATACCGTAGTCTGTGTGTAGAATATCGTCGGTTTTGGTAAAATGTATCATATAATATACTATATCTGCTTGCTATGGAACATTCATTCTTATATTCATATTGAATGTGAATGAAATGTTGCTGAGAAATCACCATTAAAACTATACATAGAATTGTCCTATTGCAGTGTATAAGCATTTATATCCCTCAGAATCAGTGCTGCGTGTAAACTATTCACCGTTGCTTATTTCACAAGCAGCGAACACTGCTTTCGCGAACGTGAAGTCAAGTATGCATATTAATCATGTGTATCAGTTCAATTAACTGACTTTACATGCGTCCTCTACGGTACCCCGTAGGAGTAAGCCATAACAGGGAGGTGCTTAGTGACTTACGCAGTTTCAACGGCTGAATAAGTAGTTTGCATTCCTACCATTCTTTGCTCCTACTAAGTGTTCCATGTACCGCGATTTTCAATTGACTAGAAATAGTACTCTGCTTTTTAAAATAATAATTTTCATCAATTTTAAGCTGAAAGTAATAGTGTTCATGAATAGTATTGTACCGTTTTTTTCGGAATAAATGGCGACGTTAACGTGTTACATTGGTGTAAGCGAGCGAGTTAAGGGCACACTCTAGTGTGTAATTTAATTCAGATTCATTGATCAGTTTTTAAGATATCATCTAGGTAGGTATGGGACGTTCCGTTCATTTTCTATCCAGTTAGACTGAGTTTGTTTACTGGATTTGTTTTTTGTAGATCAGTTTTGAGATATATATTGTGCAGTGAGGACCTTTCATTTATGACATAAATGATGTGTAAAAAGTCCGACGTACGTAGACATAAACCTGTACACATGAGGCTGTTAACAAACTGACAAAAACACACACAAACACAAGCACACAAAAACAATCGACCGGATGTATAACCTCCTTGCGGAGTTAATAATAATGAATATTGGAAATGTATTTCATTTTTCAGCAACAGTCATTCACACTGTACAGATTGACTCGCCCTCCAGAGCAAATTTAAAATATGCTCAAGAGCTGAGAACAATTAAAATGTACCAATTTAAACTATGTGAAAGTATAACATTCCTATATGCAAATTAACTGCGTAGAAATTGTAATCAGGAATCGAGACCAATGCCTAACCAGTGCAATATTTGCCTCTGCAAAAACCAATGGTAACTTACCTTTGTTGTACACCGACAGATGTATCTCCACTGGTTCGTAATCAACCCGACAAGAACTATACGTTGTTGTAAAATGATCTAGTTCTAGAGTTACTGCATTTGATGTTGCCATAAACGTCAACGTCTCAGCTCTATAATAATTTACTACCCCAATGCGAGTTGAATCGGTCGAGTTTCCATCATAAACGTAAGCCGTCCTCCTATTGTAACTATAATAATGCGTAAATGTCACAAATATTGTGCAATTTTGCATGCACTGGAACACGCTAATACAGTTTATACTTCCACATGCATTATCACGTAGTACAAATTGATTACCCGGATACACAAACCGACGCGTCCCACATCCTTGCGTGTAAAATAATGATTGCGATGGAAAGAAACTCGCTATTCTCGTAGATAAATTCAAGCCAGTTGTGTATATGTCGTCAAAATAACATTCACGAACATTAGCTGCCGAATATATTCTGGATGATACACCTAACTCACACTGTATCAAAGTAATCCCTGTAATAGTAAGCGCTGTTGTACTATCGATTAAAATCGCATGTCCGTAGCAGTTCTCAATATGGATGTTTTCAATTAGTGGAATCTGTGGTCCGAACGCATATATTACAGGAACACCGTCAAGACCATGTAGTTTTCCAGCATTCAATATATCAACGTATTGTATGGCGGATATTTCTGAATCTGAATCAGTATACACCTGAATATTTCCCCAGTTCGAACTTTTACAAACCAGCCATACGTTGTTGTACCAGTAATAATAACGGTCGTAATAATATGGACAATCAAATAAACTCAATTCGTGTCCATTGCAATACCATCGTCTAGACAAGTATGACTCGGAGTTGATATGGATATTTGAGGATTCATACCGTTCATACGAATAACCAAGTTGACGGCATGCAACCTCAGCTTCTTCCTGTCCGAAATAGTATGTTTTGACCGATTTCCATTCACCGTCTGTAAAAACCTGGATCACGCCTTGCACACGACTAGTACTTTGTATCAAACGTATCTTGTTTTTATCGTTTGAGTTGTTTGTATTGTTAAGCATAAATGTTATTCTGCTGATTGGGGTTCCTACTGCGGTTAGTTTTCCAAGGATAGTTATACCATTATCCTCATTCAAAAATAAAGTTACACCAGGGTCTATTATCAATTCTGCATTTGGTAGGATTGTGATGTCAGATTCTACTACATATGGGCTATTACCTACCTTAAGGTGACACGTAGCATTAATTCGTCCACCGATATTCGAGGAACTACATTTGTCGGAAATGGTGTTCTGACCACGTGATCTAGTCATTATGTATGCAAGGTTGTTCCAATCTTCATTGTCGAAAATTTTCTGGCGGAAGACAGTATGTTCACTTGTTCTCCACCGGTTGGATCTTGCGTCAATGAAATGTTCCGGGTCATTAAAGACATGTGCACTACAGATTTCCATTTCGATTCCAGCGTTATCAAACACATTTCCAGACAGGGTTGCTGTGCGAACACCCAATATTAACCCGCATGAAAACTTATCCAGGAAATGTCTTCTTGTTATAACATTGTGCTGGATAACATTATTTCTTAAGTGAACTTGCGCTAAGTCTGTCATTAAAACAGGGTATTTTCCAGGCCTACCAACATCAATAATACAATCATCGGCGGTGTTGTTACTTATGGTATTGTTTACAATGTTAACCACGTATTCTAAATTGCCGATTACATTCTTGTTATTAACCGTCATCAAAATAGCTTTTTTACTGTAAATTACTATATTGTTTACCACGCTAACTTTAATATTCACTGTCTCCGTAAAAATATATGTTTCCAGAAAGACATCACTACCTTCAACTACACAATCACTCACACGTAAGTCAATCCATTCTTCAGTTGAGGGTGAATTGTCTGTGGCATACATTTCTACATACAATGGTTGCCTCACGGATTGAAAACCGATATCATGTAAGTATACTGAAGCGTTATTATTATATGAATAATAATAACGCAAGTAAATACGTACACCATATGTCATCGATTGAAAATTGCAGCCATCAAGTAAGATGTTATGCACACGTCTGTAGAATCGAGCTCCATATGAATCTTTGAATGAAGATCTATATACACGTGTACTTTGATCTATTGAATGTACGTATTTGTATATAGGATACGGTACAGAATTGAATGTGCAATCCTCAATATTTAGTGTCGCCGAGGTAAACAAGTTATAATCATAAATAGCATAATAATTGTCTTTGAATTTACAGTCCCTAAGAGAAATAGTCTTAACTCTACCATCAATTCTGAAAGCGTACTGAGCAGATGACATGTTGCATCGCTCAAAGAGAACACGTTCTCCATTATACAAACGTACGAGAGTACCGCTTCTTTCACTGCCTTGCCAATTTGAGTCTATGACCCTCAACTCTGATTTTGTCGGAGTGGAATCCATTTTTAGCCCATAGGCGATAGAAGATTGAGAGATATAATCCATCTAGATGTGTATAAGAGACAGAGTTAGAACTTTTACAAACCGTATAAGAGACAGATATATATATATATATATACATATTAGTCCACAAGGTTCAAGAAGTATAATATATAACAAAAGAAAGAATATAAAGAAATAAAGGAACTCACCTTTTAAAGGCATGAGCAAAATGTCGACCTTTATCTGATTGTAATAAATAGACTGGTAAGTATATTTATAGGTAACAGTCAGAAAATTCGATGACGATTGAACTAGCTGATGATCTGGATATATCCCTGATGTTGTGGAATCAAGTGTCAGTAAAGTATCTCCATTTGCTGGATCAGTAAAAACCAACGATTCGTAAGTACTTAAGTCTTGTTGATATACATAGATTGCGATAATATTGTCAGGTTGTACGGTGAAATTTCGAGTATGTTTAGTATAGATTTCTTCTGGTGGTAGAATGTTGAGAAAGAATAAGTCAGAGAAGAAAATTGATTGGTCAGATTCAAAGAAATTTAGTACCCAGCTTTTGTGAATATAATTCCGAATATTATCTAAGTGTGCCGAGGACATGGTTGATATGTAAAATCCAGTTGCACATTGAATGATTCCTCGATAGTGGTGATACGATGGAGAATAGATGGAAACGCCGGATCCCAAGGAATCAATGTGTGTATTCATTACTGAATGAACATTAAAAAATGGGTTATCGATATAGAAAATGAATCCCTGATGTGCATTATATAGATTAATATCAGAGAAATGATGGTGATGAAGGTCCACTTGAATAGCAGCATCGGCGTAAACATTCATGTCTTCTAGATATCCTCCAGCTAAGCTTATGTGTGTGTGAATCATTGAACTTCGTTCAAGAGAAACGGCGAATCGGATACCCTGCCATCTTCCGGGATTGCATGTTAAATATACTTTACGGGAAGAGGAACATCGATAAAGTGGATTCTTGAAACCGCAATAAACTATATTTGTATGAATGCGTCCATCACATTTGAAAGCATTAAAAATGTTCAAAAGAGCAGATGTACCGTAAGTATAACTTATGTAGTCTATATATCCTAGTTGCCGACAAGCTATACGTGCAGCAATAGCATTCCATTGAATACTTGAACTGTAGCTGTAGTAACAGACAGAGCCCCATTGACCATCTCTGGAGACCTCTAGAATACCTTCCCAAGGATGACTTCCTCCAGATAATCGAATCAATTCAATGGTTTCTTTAGAACTGTTGAATGGTTCCATCCTTATCACATCCGTAATGTTTCCTTCGGCAATAAGTGTTCCGTGAACCAGTATTCCAGTATAGAAGTCAAACAACAAATTGACACCTGCCTGAAGTATCAAGGTACCTTCAGGTTGTATCACAATGTCATTAACAACCCTGTACGGATTATCAACAGAACTTAGTGTGACGTTACCTGTTATACTGCCACCTATTGTTGATCCAGGATCACTGCGGAACCCCAATTGTATACATGATTGATTAACTAGGTCTGAAAAGTTATATCCAACACGATAAGGCGAGATTTCTACTATCGGATATGAAGCTCCTGTTTTTCTATCTAGAATACGTGTGTTGATGAAGGAACAATTTGTAGAGCCCCACCACGACAGACTAGCATTTATTGTTACTGTTGACAATTTGTCTCGGCCTGGAACAGCGACTTCGTACATGAAATTAGGATTATCAAACGTGTTGTTTTTCATAGAGACGCTCGAAGAGAGTAAAAATATGACAGATGAAGGCCAGAATAAATTTAGAAATCTCCATCTCGGTTGATTGTTCTTCATCACGTTTTCCTCGACAATTATGTTTTGAGACGAAGCTGATGTTCCAAGAAATAAAAGCCGTTCACAAGAGTTGTTGAGGAACACGTTTGACACAATTGTCATTGCCTCTCCTACTGATGAATATGTGACATCAATGTGTATCAGGTAATAGGCCACATTTAAAGATATGTCATTTTTAACTACTTTGATACCACGCGAAAATATTGCCCCAAAATCTATCGCACCATTCTGGTTGTATCTAATAAAATTTTTATGAATGTATACATTTACATATTGATGGTGTTCTGTCCTGAAAACGCCACTTCCACCATTATACGAAAATGAATTATTGTCAAGATGCAGATTGTAACTGTAACTGTAGTCAATAAACCGATTCTCGTTTATGAAAAGGCCATTTTCCAAGTTACTATCAAACACACTGTTCTGAAGTGTAAGATAAGTATATTTTCCCGAAATCATGCCATTCATTTTATTTCCTTTAGCAGATGATGCGTTGATGAACATGTTGACAATATTGTACATGTCAATTCCATTAAATGAATTTCCAGAAAAGTTACTTGATTCCACAACGAGTTCATTAATTCTGTTATGTGTTTGCAATCCATTTCCATGGTTGTCTATAGCTGTGAGATCATTAGTGTCCAGCTCCAACATATACGTATGAATGGTCAATCCATTTCCTTGGTTTTCAGCTAAAGTCGTATGACTAATTTCATTTTTTGCAATAATTGCTAGATTTAAAAAGAAATGATAAAGAACTAAAAAACAGTAGGCTATAAGATGTTTGCTAAGCTATATCATACACATCATGAACAATGAAATATACTTAACATTAATATAATATTTTTAATGAAATTGTATCATAACAATTTTTGTTTAATGGTTTAAAGCATAATAATATTATTAAAATTAGCATATTATAACGACACATGCAGGCTAGATATATGTATTTTAAGCACTTGAAAAAGCAACAACAGGCTCATTTTGTCACTGGCGCTATTGATGGTTATGTTTAAATAAATTGCCTTTTGACAAGTTAGTAGCATAATAAGATGAACAATGAAAAAAAAGCCAAAAATGAACGTGGGCCTACATTGAGACAGATACAGATAAACTTTATTTCATCCCTTTCAGGAAATTACATTGTGGAAATGACATGATACTATTGTTTTTTAATTGTTGATGGAACACATTCAAACTATTTCGATTCGACTTTTTAACTTTAGATATAAACTTAATTACATTTCTTACATGGAACGATATCAAGTAATTCTTATACAAGCATTCTTAATGATACATTTGAATTGTGTCAGTTAAGATAAAACAGAAAGTACTTACGCTCACTCCAAATTATGAATTTGAAAGTGTAGGAACGACAGTAGGACGAGACATAACATTCGTACCGAATTGTCATCACATTTGACATTGATTTTAAACCCTCGTCTTCTAAACTTACAACTGTTTGTAATAAGGTTGAAGTGTCGTTTCCATAATAAAACTTCAGTCGAATATACTGACTATCATGTTGCAGAATTTTCACTTTTAGTATGTACCCTTCATTGGTGTAAAATGTCTGTAAAATAATATGTGAAAATTTAAAGTGAATTTTATCTAAATGCATAATAATACTTAAATATATTGGCAAGCTGTTAGTAAGACTATAATTGTCTAGGAATTCAGATGATCGCATTAAAATGAACAACCAATGCACACATTTTGGTAGTACAGTATCAGATTCTGTGATGATTAGCTACTTAATCGAAATGTTTATGTAAGCCAAAAAACAATGTATGTTTCAATAATTTACGTTGACATGTTGTTCTCCTTGACAGTTATCGTATGACACTCATATTCACACTCCACCAATAGACAAAAGGTTGAAGCAATAATTACTCTTTCATCTTAAAACCTAATTCATGCCAACGTTTTATGTGTATTTGTATGGAATCTTACGGTTTCGAAAAATCACAAAAACAAGAATAAATATGGTAACATCTTTGCACTTGTTGTTCCTGTTTACATTTTGTTTCACATCGATTCTTACGTACGCCTGGTATTTGTTTTTCTTATTTCTTAATATTTTTTTTTTTTCATTCATGCCAACTATTCAACTTATTTTAGTATTATTGTATTGTTTTCTTATTTTACTGGATACGATTATTGTATCCAAACTTTACTGTACTTGTAACTTGTTTAATCTAACCATCTGTTTTTACCCATATGACGTCTGATTTGTAGTGTGTGTATTTGTATTGAATCTTACGGTTTCGAAAAATCACAAAAACAAGAATAAATACGGTAACATCTTGTTGTTCCTGTTTACATTTTGTTTTACATCGATTCTTACGTACGCCTGGTATTTGAGCCTCGAAACAATTATTTTCTATTATTCTGTCGGAACACACGTGGAACACAAATGAAATATATATATTTATATATATATATATATATATATATTTATCTATATAAAATTATATATATATAATTTTTTTTAATGTCTTTTTGAAATAGTTGCTTACTGTATTATGTAAACTGTGTTAGATTTGTATTGTAACAGGCCAATATTATCTATAATATTGTATTGTTCATTTCAAAATAGATTAGTGAGGCTTACATAAAATTATCTTATAGTGATTAGGTTCCCTTAAAGTTTTGTATTCAAGTTATTGTATTTGAATTTTGATTATGAATTGTTTTGTACTTCGCTTTTTTGGCGAATGCATAACAAAAATAAGACTACAGTAAGAATAGTAAATCAAAATTGTATATAATTACTTGAGTTGTTTCAATCATCCTCCGGCGAATAATATCTGCAGATATCTCAAACAATGAAATACTTGTATGTTTTGGGTGGTGACACTTGCTGGTGATTGGTTAAAAATAAGCAATAGGTGAGATTACGTGTGAAAAGTGTAATACAAAAGCCAAAAATCAAGTCTGTGCAAAAAAAGGTTGGGGCGTTGTTCTTGCTCGGTGAATGCATATGGTAAAAAGGCCATGTGCAACGTGCATGTCTCAGCAAAACTAAACAAGGTCAACCGAAGACAAGATCCTCTAAAACCTCAAAGTACAAAAACATACATCAAGTTCAGCATTCCAGTGATAGTCCATCGTCGGATAAGACAATAAAGATAGCAAGTACCAAAACAGATAATGTTGTATATGTCACAGTGGACATCAACAAGAATCGAGTAAAGATGGAACTGGACACTGGTGCTGGCGTTACTGTGATACCACAAAAGTTATACGAACTGACATTTAAGAACATTCTGCTGGTAAACACTAGTAAAGAATTTAAAAGCTTTACTGGAGAAAAGGTGTATCCTTTGGGTAAAATTAAGGTTGAGTATGAACACATATTGTACCACTTGTGGTTATATGTAGTTGAGCACACGGAACGTACTCTGTTAGGTCGAGGTTGGTTGCAACATATTCAACTTAATTGAAAAGAACCAGATTTTAGTGGCAAAAGCTCCCTAGTGCGAAAGGTTAAGAACTTCCTACAGCTGAAGGAAATATTAGATAAATATGATATGATTTTTTTTTATGGCGAGTTAGGCTGTGTAAAAGAACTTAAATCTACTGTTGCAGTTGGAAAAAAAACGCAACTCCAATTATAAGCAAAGCATATCGTGTACCTTATGCACTAAAGTCAGACTTAGAAAAAGAAATAGATCGACTAGTAAAAGAAAGAATATGGTCGCCGGTCCAGCATAGTGAATGGGATAGTAGCATTGTTAAGAAAACGGATGGGATTATAAGCAATTATAAGCCTACAGTAATCCGGTACTTAACAAAGTAGATATTCTAGCTAACTTGGCTGGAGGTAAGAAGTTCACCACATGGACTTAGACACTTAGGCTCAAGCCTACAATCAAATGACACTAACAGAAGAGTAAAAAAAGGTACTCACCATAATTACAGATAAGGGACTATTTCAACGAAATATAATACACTTTGGGATAACCAGTGCGCCAGCCATATGGAAAAAGCAATGGAGTCAATTTCAACGGGACTCCAAGGTATTAAAGTGTATCTTGATGATATTATGCTGATAACGGGTAGAAAAGTTCTTAATCGTCTGAAACAATACGGTATTAAGCTAAAAAAAAAGGCAAAATGCGAGTTTTTGAGAAACTCTGTTGAGTATTTGGGACACAAACTTGACAAAGAGGGTGTACACAAGGCTCCACATAAGATGGACCACATAAAAAGTATTCGGTTCCCAAAGGATATGAGTGAATTACGGTCCTACTTGGGTATGATAAACTACTATAGAGCTTTTGTGCCTAATATAGCTACAGTAATTGCAGCATTAACTAGAATGCTAGAGAAGGGACAATGTTAATGGAATGAGAAAGCAAAACATGCTTTTAGTCCAAAGAAGTCTTAGAAGACTCTGATTTTTCAGTACTTTATGACCCCAGTCTCCCTATTACGGTAGCGACTGATGCATCACCAGAAGGGATAGGTGCAATGCTGTCCCACATTATCGATGGTCAAAAGCGCCCGATTAAATTTACATCCCGTGCACTAAGTAAAGCCGAATCTAATTATTAACAGTTAGAGCGTGAAGCTTTAGCAATCGTGTATGTTTTAAAGAAATGTTACTCCTACATTTATGGGCGGAAATTTCAATTAATTACAGATAATAAACCCTTAGTCACCATATTTGGTCCTCCTGTGCTCACGGCTGAACGAATCCAAACGATGGTCTGTATATCTATCGGGATTTGACTATGAAATTTAATTACTGTTACCTATATGAATGCAGTTGAAACCATCCCCATCTCGAGTGAGGAGTTCAAAAGAGAAACCCTCAAGGACAAAGAAGAGTTATCTAATAGTTGGTTGGGTTGAAAACAAACAAGATGAATGTTTGAAACCATACCTTAATAGGCAAAATGTGTTAACAAATGAAAACGGATGTCTTCTTAGGGGAGCGCGAGTAATAGTACCGCCTAAAATGCGTAAGCGTGTGTTAGAAGAGTTGCATGTTGGCCACATCAGGATTGTGAAAATGAAGTCACTTGCGAGATCATATGTGTGGTGGCCCAAGTTAGACGCGTAAATTGAAGAGGTTGCAAAGCATTGTGCTGATCCCCCTACTGCCCCTTTGCATCCCTGGTTGCCAGCAACCAGACCGTTGGAGCGCATTCATATTAATTTTGCTGGTCCGATTGACGGATTAATGTATAGTAGTAGATGCTTACTCAAAGTGGCCGGATATAAGCATGAAAAACACTACTTGCTTAGTCGGTGTGGCTTACCACAGATAATTGTGGTCCCCAGTTCACAATGGTCCCCAGTTTACTTCATATGAATTTCAACTGTTTATGCAAAGAAATGGTATTAAACACAAAAGGTCTGCCCCCTAACATCTCGCCACAAATGGTTTGGTTGAGAGATTTGTGGGTACAATGAAAAAAGGGTTAAAGGCAGCAAGAAATGAAAAGGGTAGCGCCAAAAAAAAAAGCTAGATATATATTTATTAGCCTATCGTTATTCCGAACACGCATTAACATGGGAAACCCTGGATATGCTAAAACCTAATATAAAAGAAACTGTTAGAAAACAGGTACACAAGAACATGGAAAAGCATAAGAAGTTTTTTTGAAGTTGAGGAGAAAATCTATGCTCAGAATTACATGGGTAAAGAAAAATGGGTTCCAAGATTGGTTATTAAAAAGTTAGGTGCACTGCATTATTGAATACAGGTTTGGAGTGTAGTTTGGAAAAGACATGTAAATCAATTAAGAGGTAGAGAAGGTGATGTTCACTCAGAGAGAGAAAGTGAGGACGAGCTTCAATATGGAAGTAGTATAAATGTTGATGAAGAAACTGATCGTGCTTCAGGTGTGCAAATTGCGAAGAGAGTGCAGGGCTCCAGAAAGTTTGATTGAGCATTGTTGAATGTTTTTAAGTAGTTTTATTAGTTGAAGTTTTATAGGTGTTAAAGTGATATTTCGAAATTGGAAAGATTGTCATACAACAAACCACATTTCAGAAACAATTGTATTACTTAATCTTTAATCGACAGTTACTATTTTCTAAGAATATCCATTTTTATATTAAAATAATTATTTTCTAATCAATCAGGCAGTATTATTAAAACTAAATGTTTCTACCATGTATTCATTAGAAGTGGAGAGTTGTTGGATATTGACACACACTAATTATTGTATGCTGCCCTCTATGGTTATAAATAAACGGTCTCTTGAATATGGCGAACATCGTGGTCCGGTTCACGTTATTTCAGTGTAAATTTGCTGGTCTATAAACATAACACATTGGTTTAGTCTTTTCACTTGTGCTCTGTTTCAAATGCGGTGCATATTTCCGGACCAAAACTGGAAAAAAATATCTGCAGATGGATCCGTTTCGGCCTTATATGTCTCATTAGTTCAGCTTGAGTACAGACTAAAGCAAAAAGTTAGACCAGCTTAGCTAAGCCCCCCCCCCCATATAACACCTCTAATAGACTGAACAAAGTGAGGAAAGATGTGTATAAGAGACAGAACCAACTTTGTGCCTGCTTGGGTTTGGTGAGGCAAACCTGTTACCTTTTAAGGG